TCAATGGCTAACGACGAACGACAGAAGTATTTTTACAATAAATATGTGGTGCAACAATCGCGACCGACAAACGAACGACAAAAAAGAAAAACCAAAAAGGGCGTTGGCCGCTGTACATTTAAATAGGAAAAAACACAGATAATAATTTTCATGGTATAATACGACAATACAAATAATAATAATAAAATAAGAATATAACAGGTAATTAAAATTCATACAGTTGGGGAACCGGAAGGGAAACAGATAAGAAACTGTTGACCACAACAGCCGACGTCGCCGTTGGCTACTTCACGAGTGTAGACTCACATTGCGAGTATGTACGTAAACATGATCAGTTTTTTTTTACGTTTTTATAGTTTTCTCCTGCAAATCGTTTTTGATAGAATTACAATTTAAAAATAATTCTTATCTTATCTACGTTGTCACGTAGTTCGTCATCGTCCAAGGCATCGTTGTATGGTTACAGTGTCGGCCTGGCCAAGAAAGCTAGGCAACAATCGCTGCCTAGTCGCGGCCTCCGTCTTTTTTTTTTATATGTATATTTAAATGCAACGAAACGTTTGGATATAATAATTACGAGGAACACGTGGTCGTAAAGTATTTTAACTTTTAATGTTTAAATCTATAGTTAGAATAAGTAAATCGTACTTCTTATTATCTTAGTCAGGTTTTATAATTGTGCTGTAGTTCGATAAATATAAATTATAATTATTATGGATGAATGATCTTGATATTAAATAGTATTGAAGAACGATTAATTCCAAATGAAAATAAATTAAAGGATGTAAATGGTTAGATCCAAAAATATACGAATACATTGAAAAGTTTGAAGAATATGCTATGGATATTTTGATAACTGTAACAAAGTGCTTATCTATCTTGTTAAGTACTTGTTAGGTCTTGTTATTATCGATTATGATCGTTATGGGTATTGTTAAATTGAGTTATCATTCCGTTTTGACTTCTGGTTTTTACCGTTGGGTTTGAAAAATTGCCCAGTAGCAGTAAATTTAACGAATATTTAAACGGTAACAAGTCGCAAATGGATTACTGAAATTAAATTCTGTAAACGTTAAAATTATTTTTTCAGTATTTCTATATATATTCGTTATTGAAAATAGGTATTGCCATTTGAAAATTGAAAGTTGATAGTGTTTTATCAAATAAGGGAGGAAGTTAAAATTATTAAAATTGTAATACAGTATAAAATAGTAAAACCTAGAAAGTTTAAAAAAAAAAATTATTTAAAAATGTCTAATACTTCCCGAGATATTAACTGGTTCACGACAGAAAAAATCACACTGTATAATATATGGAGGACATAGTCGTTATTCTTATTTTTATTTTACTATTACTTTTTTTTATGGAAGAATTAAAATTATTATGTTTTTATTATTATTATTATATATTATTTACAAAGTTTATTTGATTCGATGTTACACAATGTTATTGCGATAAATACTTTAATCTTTAGTATGAATATTAATAAATTGTTTAAACTATTAACTATAATTATTATTAGTGACACATTTAGACATTATAACTACATTTTAATAGCACTCCTCATTAGTGCTCTGCTTGGTCCGTTATTTTAAGGACCAAACCGGACTACAAATTTTACCAGGGGACCGAAGTCGGGCCGGACCACATTTAAACGTTAATCAAAGAGCAAAATTGGACCGAACCGACGACTTCATATAATTTTTAGATCGGACTGGACTAGTAATTAAATAACATTTAATAAAAAAGACTATGGACTGGACTGTCGGTCCAATCTTAAAATATTTTGGACCGTTCATGAACCCGGACTGAAAATAATACATTTGATCTGAGGACTGGACAGAACTACTCCTAAAAATTTATTGAACCGGACCAATCTGACAATTCAATAGTTTTTGTATGTTAGGACCGTACTTTAAAATATGATATTATTGATCAATTTGTGGATTTAAAAAATAGAAGTTAATTTTTATATTAGTGTCGAGAGGAGTTAAATAACTGCATTTTTTAGTGATTCTTAACAATTAATTTGATAGTGTGTATCAAGAATCAATTATTTTTTTTTTTTTTCGAAATTCCAATATGGCGGGGCTAACATTTCTTCAGCCCCGCTAAACTTAAAATTTGATTTCACAGGGTTAGGAAGTCAGCACTAATGTGGGATCAAGTAGAACAAACGGCACTAAAGTAGCACAATCGAATGAAAAATTTTTTTTTTCAAAATTCCAATATGGTGAGGCTGGAGAAATGGACTTTTTTTTCGAATATTTTTGTCGAGTCCGATTTTAAAATGCCAATAACGATTGTTTTAATAATATAGTTAAATAAAAAAAAAAAATCATAGTAAGTAGCCACCTCTAGATCATTTGTGTTTGTCAATATCAGATCTGAATCCGAATGAAAAACAGTGACTTAGATATTTATTAGTTTGATACGTCAAAGAATCTGCAAAATTGTTTTTTTTATTTCCTGTGAAAGATGACACATTAAAGTCTTCAATTTTCTATCTGTCCCAAAACTAACGGCAATTTAATTAAAAGCTTAGTGTCTTTTATTGGGATCTTTATAATCATTTAATTAACAATCCCAAAGTTTAGGACGACTACGATACATTTCTATCAATGTTAAAACTATTTCATTTGATCACTCTAAATTTCTACTCTATGGTAGGAATTTCACTAAATAAAAGAACATGCATTTAATATAATAGTTGAGTATAAACTGATTAAAGATGCCGTCGATCGCAAACGACCTAGTTAAATTAAATTATTGACCCAAGCAGCAGTGGAACCAGGGCCTTACTCAGTGCAAGGCAAGAAAGATAAAGTAATGCACACAAGAACTTTCTTTTTTTCCTCTGTATAACCTTCTTCAGAAAAAATGAGTACTATTTCTTCCCAGGAATTTCTTTTTATTATTTTATTTTAATCACGACTGTTCATATCCCAAATCGAGTCTTTTTTGATTTCATCGATGAAAAATTCATTACCGAATTCCTGCATTGTTGATGAAAAAAGAGCGTAACGCTTTGAAATACACATTGCGACTGAACACGTCAAAACAAACCTGTACAATGTTCAAATGCGCGTTTAACGCTCTCCATGTGAACCTAGCCTAAGTTAATAAAAAACAAGATATGAATTGCGGATGCAACTTAAAAATATTTGTCGTGCTTGCAAAAATTATATCATTTTAAAATATAATACAAAATAGATATTTAGTACATTTACTGTCATAGGTTTTGGGGTAATTTTTTTTTAATTTTTATCTTTCAATTTCACCATTTGAACATTGCAAAACTTGGTTGTTGATGAATGTCTCCTTCAACAGTTTTTCTATCTTAAACTCTTAACCTTCAAGATTTATCAAAATAACTATTTTAGTATTTAATACTTTAATTTTGTAGAAAGATTTAAAAGTAATAATATTAGATATGTGATTTTAAATTGATATTTCTATAAAATTTAAAAATGTTTATAAAATATTAATTATCATTTTATAACAAGGCACAATTACATCTTAACATTTTGTGATCTTAACATTTTGTGTAATCATACATGATTTATACTGTTTTTAGCGTAGCTAAAAAAATGAATTATTCAAACATTTGTAAATATTATGTAGTGTTGTGTCATGCGTAGTCACATAATAAAATACATCACAAGGAGGTTCCCATGAACATCAAAAACCACAACTGTGGATAAGTTAGATTATTGTGTTCATGTGGTTATTACACTGGAACTTACAATAAGGAATTAGAATATCGAAATCACAAGCGTGGATAAGTGAAAGGGTTCACATAAACGTTTTTATGGGAAATTGGAATAAAATAGTTAATCAAAATAGTAGTGACCAAATCTTGGACATCTGCGTTAATAATTATGTCACGGTCCGGAGATAGCGCGCACACACTCACAATCAATAGGAAATTATCTTATTTTATTATCAGTTTTCATATACACACACACACTCGCAATATCAGATATAAAAGGGGGTCCTGAACAGGCCCTATTCAGACGAGTTTTGGCTATGCTGCACTGAGCACCTTCACATCAGTGTATGTCATGGTCCGGATTTAGAAATATTTCAAACTATTTTTATAAGTTACAATTGTTAGGACTTAGAATAATTTCTATAATCCAAATTATTTGGACTTAGAATATTTACAAATTGTAGTTAGAATAATTTTATAAGTTTAATAAATTAAATTACTATAGTCTTAATTATTCTTCACTACACCTACATCCAAGCGTTGACTGAGACATTAGCACTGAAATCACGGATCAAACGGTTGGCACGTAACAATATCATAAAAAAAAAAAAAACTATTTTTTTATTTATTATATTTTCTGAATTTATTAGATTATATATAAATATAAATAAAACATAACAATAGAGGGGAAATGTCTAATACTGATAGTCTGATAATAGCACTCAGTTATGGATGATTTATAGTGTGTGAATGAAACCTAATACACATTTAGGCAAATAATTATATAACACTTATAGACACGTAAAAAAAAAAAAAAATCAAATCAAATTAGGGTAGCATGTGTCACAATTAGTACCAATAGAACACTATTGTATTAACATCGACACCACTAACAACTATAGGTAAAACAAATTAAATTAACAATTACAAAATAAAAAAAGTATCATCACTTATACCTAAATATTATAATTATTTACAGGTACAATTTTTAATAATTTTTTTCTTTACATTTGTGAGCTTTTAAAATATCTAGGAATATTACACTTATAACATTGAACAATAACAACGTGTAATGCATTTGTTTTACCCTTGTTATGTTACACCATAATTGAATAACTTATCTTATAACTGATAGACTAAAAACGTTCATATTATTATAATAATTATTATTGGACGGTGAATAAAAATCTCCTTCCCTTCTCTCCATAATTTTGAATTAAGTTAAAACACTATTTCATATTATCTTATGGAATATAATAATTTTAAAAACTATTAAAAAAAAAAAAAATTGTTAGTAACTAAAACATAAATTATTTATTTTGGTTAAGATTCATCAGTAATCATTACTCTATACCAATTAATAATTGTATGTAAATATCAAGGAACGTCAAACAGAATATTTCAGATCAACAGATAACTCTTTTAGACACAACACCTAACAATTTGTATTTTTCAACTCACCACAATGAGCATACAACTGAATTATAAACACATCATGTGTACTCCATGCACAAAATTGTAAAAAATCCAAGAGAGATTATCATGTTAGGTACTTGTCCAAAACATTGGGTACTTTCAAGTATCAACATGATATTTTTTTAAAATAGAAGAATAAGCAATTATCTTAAGTGTTAAATTTTTCTGTACTATTGTTTGATGACTGCATGGATGTAGATTTACACAGGTTTAAAGTCAAACGCTGTTTGGCATGACACAGTTCTCCTAAAGTAGGGGAAAGTGGCTCTTTGGGCAATTTTGTATCACTGACATCAACGACCTCATCTATTTTGAATGAAAGTATTTTGCCTAATGTTTTTATATCCATGTTATCTATTTCTGCTTTTGCTAGTTCTTCATTTAATGTAACAGCACTTGCAAGAGAATCCGGTTCTGATACATCTTCATTTAAATTGGCAACTATTAACATTTAAACATTATGGTAAGTATTTTAATAATCATTAAATCATCAATTAGTTCATACTTATGTTTTTGGGTTTTAACTGATTTAAATCAGATGCATTAGGTTCAAAAGAGTCAATACCATTTGACTTTTGACCTGGGAAAAATTGACTTTGGTTTGTTTCAAATGGTTGATTAGAACTACTTATATAAAAATCATCATCAAAAGTTGCTATATAAATGAAAAGCAAATTAATAACAATGATAAATTATGTTAATAGTATAATCTTACTCAAGGGGAATTTAAAATTAGTTTCATGAGAGAAAGTTTGAATAGTATTACATGCTTCATCATCAATAAACGATGGACTGAGTAAATCGGTTTTTGATGGACCAGCTCCCCAATCTGAAATAATATATTATACCTTAAATATTTATTCTTGGTGGAATAAAATATATCCACATAAAGATTTGACTTACCACTAAAGGATGATAAATCAAAATAATTAGGTGTTCGATCCCAAATTGGTCCTATGTCTAAATCAAATGTTTCGCTATCATCTCGCGGGTACTCATAAACACAATGATAATTTTGTTGCTTAAACGACACCGACTTTTTGGCACACTAAAAAAAACGTATTTATTAGTCACACAAAAAATAGTAGTAACTAAAAAAAAAAAGTTTTGTTTATTAACTGATTGTGAGTTTGAGTTGCGCAGTGAAGTTTTATTAGGAGTTGCATTACTATTCCATGTTGAAGGAACAAATTCTACTTCATCTTCATCGCTATCATCTTCAGATTTAGTAGATTCACTATCGTTGCCATTATTATTAGACTTCCCAAACACTTTTTCCCAATTATTTAAAATATTAACATTTGGTAATGGAATTGGAAATAGTTTTTGAGATTCTTGTTTTTCAGGGTTTTCATTAACTAGTGATACTTTAAACTCTCTATGGTGCTTTTCTTCAGTAATTGTTGAATTAGAGTCTAAACTCTTCCAACAATCTGCTTCATAAACGGCTTGTGTTTTTAAAGTCTTGTCAACATCAATTGTAGTTAAGTTTGGTTCTGAACTGCTTACAACTGTTAATTCATTAATTTTAGGCCAATTATTGCTATTAAAATTTATTGAATTCGGTAATGATGTTGAATGAACAAGGTTGCTTTCACAAAATGTTTTAGTATTGATAAACATTTTCAACCAGTTTTCATTTTGCTTACTGTCAAACAAATCTAAGTTTTCATTTGAATTACTCTTGTGGGGAGATTTCAGTAGTTCTTCAATGCTTTTAATGGCATTGGTTTGTTTATCTAATGGTAAATCAATGTTACTATATGTTGGCGAAATAAATTGATCAGAAATATCAGCAGTTTCAGATGATGAATATGACATAGCTGCAGCAGTTTTACTAGTGGATCCTGGTGATAATGAATCAGGCGAATAAGTAGCTACACTATCAGATTCTAAATTTTCCAATATATCATCTGTATCTGAATTTACTTCTTCAATTGTATATGTGTTATTCAAAAGTTTTATTTCTTGTTTTTCTGATACGTCTGTATCTAATATAATTGCTTCATTAGTTATTGTGTCAACAATTAAGACATCATCTTGAATATTATCTAGTTCTGATGAAGAGTCAACTAATTTTTCTCTACTAATGACTAGATGATCTGAAGAAGTATTTGTTAAAATACATGAAGGACTAGGGTTTTCAGAAAATGTATCAATTATTTCAGGATATTCATCTTCATCTTCTTCAAAAATTGTGGACAATGGAGGGGGATATACATTATAATGTATAACCATATCTGTATGATTAGTGTTTTCAGGTTCATTGCTATTTTCTTCCAGTGATATATTTAAATTTCTTGAATCATTATCAGTCTGGTTAACTTTTCCTCTAAGTTCTTGTCTAATAGCTTCTGCATATACTTCATCCAAAGACAATTCTTTATCATTAGATTCATCTTCATGATTAAGTGTATCTGGAAGCCAACCTGAAGCGTTTTGATTCGGTGGATGTAAATACCAAGATTCCGAAAGACCTTCAATAATATCATCAATTTCATATTGACCTTTAATCACTTCACTTTGTTTACTATCTTTATCAGATATTCCTTCAAATTTAAGCTGATCATTATTCAGATTTTCTTTATACGAATCGTGAACTTTGATTACAGTGATTTCATTATCATCTTCATCTTCTGATTTGTCATTCAAAAACTCTGTGCTGCCGTCTTCACTTGTTATTTGTTCTATTTCACAACCAGAGTCATCAGAACCATTTTTTAGCACCGTAATATTATTATAGTAATTATAAGCTTCATTTGTTTCATTAAATGAATAATTTGGAGTACTTAAACTTTTGGTTTCTAATGGATCTTTAGTCGAAATATCTTCACAATTTGTATAGTCTGATGTATGTCCAGAATCCGATTCTAAAGTATTGTAATTGGATTCTTTAATGACATCATCTAATAGTATGTGTTTTGATTTGCCTTTAACTTTTAAATCTTCAGATTCTCCGAGAATAGGTTTACTGAAATCAAATATATTAGAATCCCATTTCATAGACTCGTACGGATTAAAAGTAAAACTAAAATTCTCAAATATTGAGTTATCTATTTTATCATTTATTGGTGATTTATGTTCTGTTAGAGATGAAGAAATACCTTTATAATAATCTATTGTAAAATTTTCACATGGACCCAAAAGAACAGAAGAATTACTAGCAATTGTAGAACAATGAGATGTGTTTGGCAAAATAAAAGGGTTATTTTTATTTATGTTTTCCGAGGCTTCAATCTCTAAAAAAGGATTGGTGCTATTTGTTTTAGTATCCTTTTTTACTTTCATACTATTATCAATTTGCAACGATAAATATGAAAGCGAATCATCATCTCTATTTTTTAAAGCTGTTTGGAATTTTTTTAAAGTATCTTGAAAATCATGATCATCTTGTGCGTTTTTTAAGTCACTATCGCTAGTAAATGTAAGACTATTTAAAAGGGGAACAGCCAACCGATTATGTTTAAAACTGTTTTGCCTAGATAATGAATTTAATGGAGTATCGCTTTCACTACTTTCGCTTGCATCTATATGAGTAAGTATCATCAAATCTGCGACACTTTTTGATTTCTGCTTGACTTTTTCAGAAAATTCACCTCTTTCAATTCTCAATCGCCAATGTTCATCTTCTGTATCTGTTCCAGATGATTCAGTAACAGATCGTCTTCCTAAATATGAGTTATCATTATAAGAGTTTCCAAATAGTGGACGGCTTATTTTATTACTTGCTATTGGACCAAGCCTAAAATTAACAATTGGTGGAGAGTTTTCAACATCAGATGACGTAGGTTCACCAGCCAAAGCTTCATCTAGTTCTCTTATAGCATTATTTATGCCTTCCATAAACTGAATACTATCATCGGTTCTTATCCAAGGATCATTTGAATTTGTAAGATCTTCTAACGATCCATGTAATATTTCTAAGGACGGAGATTTTTTAGATTGATTAAATACATCAACACCACTGGAGGCAGATGGTTGAGAACTAATATCACTCATGTCATCTGCAAATATTTGAACCTCAAATGATTTAGGTCTATTGACAGAACTCATTCCAGAATCACTGTCACTTTTAGCAAAATCTTTAGAAAACACAGGACTGGAATTAGAGGAAACAGGATCAAAATTTGCTTTCAGCATGCTATAAGTTTCTTCTAAAGATGAAATAATTTCAGGAAATGTTGGTCTTTTTGATGCATCACTATTCCAACAACGCAACATTACTTGATATCTAAAAATAGTTATAATAGAATTAGTACAAGACTAAATTAAAACAAAAATAATGTAACTAACATTTGCTGAGATAGTTTGTGATGTTTAGATGAAGGAGGAAGTAAAAGTGGAGTATGTTCAATAAATACAGCTGATAACACTGCTAGATCACTAAGAGAACCATAGGGCTGAGCACCATTCTCCATTATTTCCCATATAACAACACCAGCACTCCATACATTTCCTTCAACAGTAACCTAAAAAGAAAAATAAGTAAGCAATATTTGTAATTTCGAAAATATTAACAATTTCGTTGTTTACCTTTTTAGTCTCAATTACTGATTCAGATACATTTAAAGTTTCTGGAGAACACCATCTTATTGGAAGTGCTACTCCTTCTTCAGTAAAATAATAATCTTCCTTATATGTTTGAGTACTTATACCATAATCACCAATTTTTACAACATTGCCAGGAAAAACTAAAAAGTTCCTTGCAGATACATCACTAAAAACATATAATAATTATAAAATACAGAAGAATAATGTTAGTGAATTGTTGAGTTATTTTAACAATCAACAATTACTTTAAAGTTATATTTCGATATAGTTTGTTATTTTTTATTATTAATATTTAATGGAATAAATAATTGCTAATATTTCATTTAGAATCAAATAGCTTATGAATATTTGTGTAAAATGTTATACATAATGTTTTTTTAATTAAATATTCTATTAAGGGGACTACAGACAACACAAATATTCATGTTAGCCACAATTTAAAAAAAAACTGTGAATTTTGGGTGGGATAGATTTTAATTTTGAAAATAAATAGATTTTACTAAATATCAACTATTTTCCTAAAACATAATTGGAAGGAATTTTCATTATTACAAAATTTAAAGGTGTAATGAAGTTATTTTCATTTATCTAAAATGATTGATTATAAAAAACTTATAAATATAATCTGATTATTAAATATATCCTTACGTATGAACAACTCCACTTTTTAAATATTGCAAAAGACCATTGACTACTTGAACAGACATTTTAAGTTTACGTTCCAATTGTGTTTCATGTTCATTATTGTCTGCGTTTTTACGGAGCCATGATTTTAAATCGCCCTAAAAATTGTAACATCATTTTGATATAGTTTGAACACATTATTTTGATAGGTACAATATGATATACTTACACAAGGACTAGATTCAAATATCAATAATAATGGATCCATTTTGATACAAGCAGCTACAAGTCCTAAAACTAAATGATTTCCATTTTTTGTTTTAATTTTATGTGGTGTAGCTTCTTGTAAGAATTTTAATCGTTCAGCATCAGTAGCATCATCTCTTAAGATTCGAACTACTACTTTATTATTTTCACTTTGATTCAAACCAACCACTTCACCACTCACCACCTAAAATATATCACATTAATTATTAGTTTATAGTTTAATTAAATAGTGAAGAATTAATTTGTATTACCCTTCCAAACCATCCAGAACCAAGTTCATGGTGAAATTGTAGTCGGGATCTTGGAAAATTTGAAAGTGAATCATCTACAGCAATAAAGATAAAGTCGAAAAATAGATAAAATATTTTATAACTGTATTTTACATACTTATCCATTCTTTAAATAATGACTGATATTTAATCGACGGTGAAAGCTGTTCAATATTGATAATAGTGGAATCAGATCTTGACAATTCATTACTATGAAGATTGCTAATGGGGTTGACAAATGCTAATCCTGGAGAACTGTAATCTCTTGTCGATAGTACTTCATTCTGAAATTCCTAGATTATATGATAAAAAACTGTTAATTAAAATATAAGGTTTTGCTAGTTCTGCTATTTCATAATTAAACCACAAACATTCAAACCTGTGTTGTTGTAGAATCCTTTTCATGGAAGAGCAAAAACAAATAAAAATATAAGTTTTAAGAATTGATTACATATTTTCTGAAAAGAATATTATACATAATACCGAATTTCTTACATTATAATAAATAAAATAATTTTCTGGAAAATTTAAAATTTGTTGAAGTTTTTATTATTTTTTTTTTTAAATTCATTTCAATATTAGATATAAGACGAATATAATCGTTTGTTTTATGTAAAAATAAAACAAATGTAGCGCCATGTTATAAAGATTGTCATAATATGAAAATATCCTATGGCGCTGTTGTTACTGTAACTATATAAGGAGGTCGATGTTCTCTGACAATAACTCTATATATTGGTCATGGTTCAGATTATACGCCTATACAGAAAATATATGACATATACACACATACACACAATACGCAAACACATAAGACATACAATGGAAATTTCGTTTGATCTGATGCTAAACTTGTTTCGGAAAAATCTTATTACTTTTTAATTACACGCTCTAACAATTAGGTGCAAAAGTGCGATTGAAATCGAAAACGTGTACGTGTAGTGTACAAGAGTTCGAAGATATATCCATAAAATTAATTTTATAAAAACTTTAATTTAAATTTGGAAATACCAATTTTTATTTTATTAAATCAATTTTTTTCATTTAAAATTGCTACGAAAAATTAAAAATAATATTCATAATCATAACATAAAAATGCATTATTAAAAAAAACAATGGTGCTTATGTTATACGTCTTAAAGTTTAATTTTTACCTAACTGAAGGCTTGTTAATAATAAAAACACCTGATACAACACGCATTAGAACTCTGCCACATTTGTGTATATACTAATTGTATGCGTATATTAATTATAAATGGTGATTCATTTACTGTTGAACAAAGGTAAGCAGTATTAGTTTGTATTAACAAATGTATTATTGAAATCGATATTTTATTAAAAAATAAACCTACAGAAAAAAATTATATAGCATCATAATTATAATAGTATGTGATTAGTTTTATTACTATATATTGCAATTGAATAGTTAAGAATTTATTTTATTTATGAAATAATATACGGGTTAGGACCTAATTAAATGAATTTGTTGCATCAGAAATCTGTATACAATTATAATCTGTAAATTACTCATAAAAATAGTTTGAATAGTTTAATGAAAATTATATTGAATAAAAAAAAAGGAAAATATTAAATAATAAAATAACTGGAGTTATAACAAAATCATTTACTCAACAAACCGAGCATGACACATTTTTACAGAATATTACCCATTTTTGATTTTTATATTGAGTAGTCAATAGTTTTTGGTTGGTAAAAAGACTGATTATATACATAGACTACTAACTCTCATAAACTACAAATTTATTGAAGTTGAAAAATGAGCTTGGTCAATATAAACTCGAAACTATTTACAATAACAAAATGAAAATCATATTCTACTTCTTATTTCCGTATAAAACAATACCCAATAGGAAAATATTACAATTGAATTAAATAATTAAAAAATTTACTATTCACATTCTACATTTATTGTAAATGTTATCTATTTTCTAAAAAAGTATAAAATAATTTACAGAAAAGACATTTTTAAAATACTTTTATTACCATTTTTCTACTGATAAAATTGAATATTCAATTGTTATCCTAATACATTATCTTTAAATTAATAAGGAATAAATATCAAATGATATGTGAAAATTAGTTTAAATCACTATAAAGAATAAAATGAACACAAATTATTATAGTCAATAATCAGAGTTTGATAATATTTATGTTTAGTTTCTTTTTTGTTAGAGATTATTAATGAAGTAAATAATGGTGCTTTTTAATAAAATAATAATACAATTAAAGGATATTCCATAAAATATAAACAATGATTTATTTATTTTTTTATTATATACCAATATAGGTAATAAAATGCAATTTAATGGATCATTCTGCATTTTAAATTTTTTTTAAACTTTTAACTAACATTTTTTTACCATTATATTGAATCTATGAAGATATTCTTATACATAATATGTTAGACGTGTCATTGGTCATTACTAGAGTAGAGAACTTGTAGCTCTAAAAAAGCACTAAATATGCAAGCACCTATGCACTTAAAAACTCTATAATATGTACTAAAAATATGCTTTTATATATTTTTTTAAAATTATTTATTTAAAAAATATATAAATCATATAAATGTTGCGTAGGTAACATTAAAAAACCGTTTTTCATATCCTACTAAATAGTCACGATACTCACAATATAGGACTTTACTGTCAGTCGAAAATATATCGACACTAATTTTCAATAAATAACTTTTAAAAGACAGTTTATCTTTTAGCATTTTAATGTTAAAACACAAAAACAAAACGTTGATACGAATTACGAATAGATATACATACGCAGACGGCAAAACTAAAACTAAATAACTACAATATTATTAATGAACAATGATTGACAAAAGTCGGTGCAACAAATTTTTTTTGGTATTCTTTATGAAAATATTGATGTTTTATCGGAAATTGTATGACTCAAACAAGTATTTACTGTTTATAAATAAAATTAATCCAATTAGCGATCCTCGAGACGTATTTCTAGGAAAAACATGTGTCTACGAACAGTCACAAGCTGTGACTGTTCGTAGACGCACAACCATACATATATGATATGATCGAAATTTAAAATTATTTTTAATTCAACAATATTTAGGTCGTATAATAGATGAAGTATGATTTTAAAAGGAATAAATGGAAAAATTATGCCATAAAAAAAAAAAAAAAACTCAAAATATGCCTTTATACGAAAAATAAAATCTCAAGACTAGCTTTGTGAAAGCATGAAAAAATATATTTGTTTCGTACTCTGATATTTATGTGATTGTGCAAAACAAATATGGAAATGCTACAAGTCTTTTGCCCTAGTCATTTCTTATTACTTTATGATGAATACAGGAATATATGATTCAATAATTAGTCATATTTTCATTAAGCTATTAATCTGTTTTAAACAATATAATTACTTCTATAAACACACTTAAATTAAATGATTAACATAAATATAATATAAATTAAAGATATTTAAAATTAGTCAATAAAAGACGAAATTAATAATTATCACAACATAGATTAATCAGTAAAATTTAAATTTAAATTAAAAATTAACTTATGTTGAGAAGAACTCATGAGAACAAAAATTATAAATGTCTATTAAGTATTTAATAATCGACATGCAATGTTTATACTCGAAAAATGTATGAATACGGAAGAAAAAGGTAGAGGAATTTTAATTTTACAGTTTAGTACTTCTATCAGTAGAACCTAGATAATTTATTAGTATTTACTGGAATATTTAGTATAAAATTAATAAAATCCTTTTTAATTTCATTAAACCAATATTAAAATTATTATTTATTGTTAAAGTACCTACTCCAAAATAGTGTGTAGTAAATGTAATTATAATTAGACCTCATAAATCATTAAAATTATCTTGCTAGACAAATAATATCATACGTAAATCACAAATGTGAGGAATATATAATTGACAGTAGAATAGTACGTAATTTAGGTTAAATTAAATTACACATATAGCAGTGAACCAATTCTTGATACAATTTATTCTACCTATTTCATCTTCAATTTAACATGTTAGTCAATAGTTACTAGAAAGTATATATAAATAATTTGGCGAACCACCTATAAACATACAAACCTACATAAATTGAAATATTTGTAAAATAGTAGCAATTTATATCCAAGATATTATATTTTATAACATATGGTCATAATAAATATCAGTAATATAGACGTAAGCAATATACAGAATGCGGACCATACAATAAGGCAAGCTGATGCAGTAATACATATTAAATATTTCCCCATTACTTCAATATAATTATCAAATCATTTAAGTATAATTAAAGAATATAAATACTAGACATAGTTTATAATTTGCTTACAAGTATAAATTGGTAGTTACTTGAGAAAAAAAAATATTAATTTAACAATTGGTCTTGTTAATAAGTTTAGTTAAGTAAAATTAAATAAGTAAAAAATATGTATATATTTAAATTAAATATAATAGTAATAAAAAAAACAAAAAACAAAACTAAACTAAAAATATTACTTAAAATAGAATGAAAAAATAACTAAAAGTCAAATGTATATATCTAATCCAATACAAATGAGGTGAACATAACTGTAATGGTCATCATGCTAGTATGTTTTTTTTATAGTTGTTTCCAGTGATATTCAATAAATTGTGGTACTGTTACACTAGTTTTTATATATTCACTAGGTAGAAAAATAATTCAACCACAAAATCACCAACAACAACACAATACTTAATTCATTTCCAAGTTGTACTTAACTACTATAGAATACCTAAGGTAAAATAATTAACAATAGTTCATTTGACCATAAAAACATATCAATACAAATTAGTTGTATGTTATATATATCATATTAACCATAAGTACTAATTTATATAAAAATGATTATTTAAATTGTTCAAAGCAATAATCTTGCTAACTATATAGGTTTTTAAAGGTATAATTTTTAATATTTTTAATAGTGATTGAGAAGATTTTATTACAAGGATTGTAATTAATTCTTAATCAACTGTAAATAATAAAATTAAACAAAAACTAGAAATCTTTGAGCCATGTTTTTATTGAGTTTGTATAAACCTGATGATGAATTTTTAATTTTAAATTGGTTGCACATTAAACAAATAATACTCCAGGCCACGCATTAATTTATTTATACATAAGCTTTCAATATTTATTAAATTTAAATAAAATATATATAAATATTTAATTCACCTTAAAACTGAATCTACTGTTCCGGCAACAATCCAAGCAGCCCATAAGGAAAATAATGATACAAATAGTGAAGATAACAGCAACTATTAATACTTCGAGCCATATATTTGAGCTGGTCCACAACACTGTATTAGAACTTAAATCTGAAAAACATAGAATTGAAATAATAAGTATTTAGTTAAAATTCTTAAAAATTAATTATAAATCATAACTCTAAGACTATTTAATAATTATATAAATAATATATAATATCTTAGATTTAAATGATTTTTAAACTAATTTAATATTAAATTATCCTAAAATGGAGCTTAAAGTAGCAAAAGAATAGCAACTTTATACCACTATGAGCATTCTACAATACCTAGTTAGTTAATGTTGAAGATGTTACAAATGGTGACATATTAGTTTTAGTGATTTTATTTGGTTTTTATTTCTAATGTAAATTTTTTATCGGACACAATTATAAAGATAAAACTAAATTATAAATGTTTCATAAAATTAATTGTATATAATCTTTTTAAATTAGTGATAAAATACATGTAACAAAATTAAATTGTTTTATAACTTTTAGGATGGTTTAGTTTAGTTGTCTTCAACGAGTGGGTCGCGACCCATTTTTGGGTCACGTAAGCTTTAAGATTGGGCCGCGATAAGTTTTCTGTTTAAAATTTAAAAAATTAGTGTTTATATATATATATATATATATATTATATAATGTATGTCATATGATATTGCATAAAAATCTTTTCGAATAAACCCGAAACCGTACTATTTTAAATTTGTAGATTAGAATGAACACTTTTTTCTTAAACACTCATACTTTATTAGAAAAAGTCCTCAAACCAATATGCAACACATACCAATAATCATTAACTGTTGAACACATAGTGGAGGAGTCTATACAATTTACCTCAGTACACACCAACCTGAACATGCCATCCAACATAGTAAAAGTACTTAGCGAAAAACAAATTCTGAAAATTGTCACATTATTAAGTATCACAAATATTATATTAGTAAATCTTAATCTTAATTTCTAACTTCATCTTTATAATATTTCATATGTAATATTGTAATTTTAAATCTAACACCTAACACATCAAATAAATAACATTTAATAGCTAATAATATGAGTATTTGCTGTTGAAGCCTCAATTTTCAAATAAAAGAAAAAAAGAATGAACAATTAAATGAAGTGATAGCCTGACTTAATTTATAAATCTCATTTACATTTCATATATCTATAAACTGTATTGTGTTAAATTGAGCTGAGGTGGAGATATTTTGTGTGAAAACAGTCCAGGACAAATATCGCACTCATTTCTTTTGTGTATCAAAACATTTTGCATTTTTTTTTTTGTGTCATTACTTATATTAAAAATTAAATTTTTCCTAAATACCTAAAAAATATAAATTTTGATTTATTCAGTTATAAAAGCACTTCTAAAATGGCATACATTAAACAATTTTAACTTTTTTATTTGGTTTTCATGGCTAACGAAATTTACGTGGATCGCGAAAAATGTTTGGTAAGAAAAGTAGGTCACAGGTCGAAAAAGGTTGAAGATGACTGGTTTAGTTCATTCGAAAGGTAGATATATATATATATATCTTTAGATAAAACAAAAGATTATAAATGAATGACTTAATTTTATTGATTTAAACAATAAAAATGTTTGATATATTAATACATGAGTGCGTATAACCAAATTTGAAATAGCTAGTACTTAGTTCATTTTAAATTTATAAGAATAGTTAATAAGGATTGATAGTTGAAATAGAACTTAAAATGAAATGCCTATTCAATCTTACACAAATTAATACTTCTTTTAAAAATAAATGCATAATCAATTGTTGAATACAGTTCAACATGTGTTTGTATCTTAATCTTTACTTTTATTTTTATAATTCCTCATTAATTCTATAATTGTCCAGTTAAGACATAAAATAACCTCAAACAGGTATATTACAAATTCACAATAAAGCTATTTATAATTTACCTAAAGGTTACTCATTTATCTATTTATAACTTACTTACTATTTAACATAAAAAAATAAAACAAAAAATATGCATCACAATTTTAACATTTTAATCTTTCAACATGAAAATAGGTCAATTTTTATAAGATCCTAGTTGAATGTTTATAATTTGTTGACAGAATTTAATAGGTTATATATACCAAGAATCTATTTAATAATTCAATGAATATAATTTATCTAGTTATATATAATAATTTTTATTTTATTCTATACAGGCATATATATTTGTATATTAAATAACGGTAGAAATTATATTATATCAGGTTAGATACAGAAGTTATTGAAATTATATCACAGAAAATGGACAGCTAAATTTATTACAATTGATTGGTTATTACTTCTTATTGTTTATAATTAGATTTTTAGCTCTGCTTAGAATGCAAAGGAAGATTGAGTAGAACAAACATAAATGGTTACTGAATAGGTCAATATTTTCAGATGAAATTTTTTTTTAAAAAGAACAAATTTTGTTACAACTTACTTAAGTTGTGTTTATTTCTTATTATTTACAAATACTAGAATGTTCATAATTTTTAAAATTATATTACTTATATTGTATTTGTACAAAATACTTAGGAATTTGTTTGGGAACTTGGTAGATAGTTATCCAAATTATATAGTTTTAACAATGTATTGATAGTTATTTGTTTATTGGACTAATTTTCTATAATAATAATTATATTTTAATAATAGTAAAATAAAATAATTTTTCTGATCAATTGCATAAATGCATGTAAGTACTTACTAATGCATTACATTTAAATACAATAAATACCTATTCTTTAATATGTTTTCTATTAAGGAATGCCTAAAAAAAAATTTGTTAGTTTTTGATATATATTAGTGATATTTTTAGTAAATGACTAAGATTTTTATAAAAATCTTATCTCCATAATATATTTTGACTTGTTCTCAAAATTCAAGTTTCATAATAAATTTATTAAATAACCTGATTCAATAAATTTTGAGTATAAAGCTATAATCCTTGAAAAAATAATGTACATCTACTAAAATAGAAACATTACCTCTTAACAGATACACATACCAGCTCAATACTTAAAGGTTCTTATTTGTACCTACTTACATTTCATTATAATTAAAAAATAATGAGTGTTTAATGTACTTAACATTATTTGAAAATGAGAGATGACTTATCTAAAAATGAATCGAGTTAAAAAAAAATGCAATAACATTGTTAAAACCAAAGAATTAGATTATTAAGATTAAGAATTATTAAAAATAAATTAACTTTCTAATTGTAAAATAAAACAGTTAAATTACCTATTCTTAATATTATTGATGAATATTAAAATACTCATATAAGAGACAAAAATACTATTATTAATAACACTATAATAAAGTGGCTTGTGATTAATATAATGTTTATTAAATTTAAATTATTTTTAACTACATGACATCAATTTCAACATTTAATTTAGGTAATCGTTAGACAATATTATCAGAATAAAAAAACAAAATAATTTCTTTGTTACAATGAAATATAAATTTAAAATCAACAATTCAATGACATAATTTAGTCAGAGGTCCATTCAGTTTTCTATAACATTTCATTATTAGTTTAAGGATAAAATAAAATGTAAACGTTTAGTAAATTTAAATACTTATAATAATTTGCTATATGATCTTATTTATTGATTGATAGATAGAACTAAGATTGTGTAAGTAAATAATTAAGTTATTTTATTTATTGTATTATTTAATTATTCATATAAATTGATTTGTAATAATAGACCAACAAATATTAACAACAAAATGAATGTAAATGAATAATAAACATTGATCAATTTGTAATGAATTAAAAATAATCTTTTGTTTAAAACTTCAGTGGATATAATACTTAAATGTGTCATACATTTAATGATGTTTAAGATGAAACATTGCAGAAAAATTCCACTGTTGAAAAGCTAAGCAAGATAATACGTCCAAATAAAGATTTAAATGGTATCATGAGACGAAGTTATGTAGCCAAAAAATTAACAAGGTGTAAGATCAGGATGATTCAACATATTTGATTTACGAAAAACGTTTGTACTGCACTTGGACACCTCTATCTGTAATGGACATGATTGTCTAGGTTTGATGCTCATACAGGTATCCACCAATAATGGGCACGGGACACTAAAAATAATGAATTATTCTAATTACCTTCAATCGGGAAAGACACGGACGACTCGATCCAAGTCGAAATCAAGCCCAACCACAGCAGCAACGGTACGGCGAAATGTTCCATTTTTAGCTCTGACGCGTGTTCCGGGCCTTGGTCATTTTACTGAAGTTCGGCCACGCCACGATAACGGGCGATTGCTGCTTTTCTCGAAATGTCGGTACGCGCGGTGAACAGTCGCGTATCACTCATCTGCCCGTTGTGGACCACATCATTTCCGTCAACGTACGCGAAACACTCCCGATAGTCAACCGACTGCGTATTTCGCACTTGCGTGTTGCAGCAGTTAGCAACGGGTATGACGATCGAATATATGTCCGGACGGGAAATCTGTTTACATATTTACCGCGCGCGCGAAAAATGACACGATGACACATGCATTGGCGACGGGTCCGGTTGGGACGAGAAGACCGAACGCGCGCACCACTGCGTGTGGAAATCGAAAAATGCGGTGTATTGCGAACGAATACTACGGGATTGAAGATAATGGACAGCGACAATAAAAATAATAAGAAACGAAAAACAGAAGAGCGGACGATGATTATCGTCGGACAGTCGTACAGGGGCTACCGGAAGTGCACGTAGTTTTCCCCGTACGGTGCAAACAGCGATACGATAACATGAGTCACGGTACACTAGCGTGAGATTGCAACTACTGAGCGGTGGCAGGGTGTGTCGGTTGACCGTGGAGAGGGGGTCCGATGGGGCGGGGTCCGAAGGCGGCTCACCAGCGTAGTATAGGTAACACTCGTACCATGTTCACGTGATAAGCGATAACGGTCGAGTTCCCTCTCCGCGCCACCGTCACTTAACAGCTGCTGCTGCTGCGTAGAACGCGTCCTGCTATACGGCGGTACGATAAATATTGGCGGTCCTTTTACACTACTGGCGGTACGACGGAAACTAGTTTTTCAAGGATTTTCTTCGCGACTTGGGGTCCTACAATTTTCTTATAGATAAAACACCTAATGCACAACAAGAGCACTAGGAATTGCGTAAAATATTTAACTTTGGTAATTAAAATTAGTGGAAAATAAATTGTACGTACTGAAAACGTTTTTGAATTTTTTTTAGTGATGGAAGTAACATAAAAATACAATGTAAATAAAAATTATGTGCATTTTTAACTGGTAATTACAAAAGTATTTCAGCCTATTTTTGCAGATACCCTTATATGTATACTTTCAGTACATTTTTTTATTATTTATTGAGCTCGTGGTAAGTAATAAAAATAATAATTATTTTTATTACCGATATCACATAAGAAAAAAGGAGTCAATTCGATTCGATGCCGAGCCACTTTTTTAACGCTAAATAAATGAAACTAGAACAATTGACTCCCACTGACCGCGAATAGAATACTTGGCATTCAGGAATTTTACTCATAGGATATTAAATTATTAATTCATAGAGTATCTACAAAATAAATAGGTATTGTAAACGTACTTTATTTATTTATTTTTATTTTATTTTTATTTTATTTATTTTTTTTCTCTATTAAAATAGAAAAATATTTACAATCTGTATACATAAAATACATTAAGTCATTTTGTTGACATTTATTTTGAAGTACTTTATCATAATATTCATGGAAAATTATACATAAATTATTTTAGAATTAGAAATTCAATAATAATAATGCTTATAATAATATAAAAATGTAAATTAAGTAATATACGATTTATATTTATCAAAATATTAATGTCTTTAGTTGTTATTATATTGTGCAGACTAGAAGTTTTACAATACATTTCGAATTTCTTCTTATTTTTTTTTAAGATATATCAGTGTGTCTATGTTATGGTTATATATTATAAATAATAGATATCCATGATCTATATTTAATTTTTAAATGTTAAAGGGTAATGAATTTTACTATCTATTCATAAAAATATAGAGTTGTTTAATTTGTATGATTATTATATACGTTCATCATGCGCGTTCGATGTGAATATTTGTTTTATAAAAATATTAGCAAATATTGTCTAGTTTTAACAATACCATTGGTTGTCAAATGTTCAAATATATATTATATTTATATGTGGCATATAGGGGCGTATTTAGAGGGGATGATATGGGTGTTAGAACACCCCCCATCGATCATATTTTATGGTATTTCATTAAATTACAAACTTACAGTATGATTTGAATAAACGTTGTATACAACTTGTCGATTTTACATACACTGTCTTAATATAATCATTTTCATTAGTATAATAATTTATATAAATACATAGTATTTATTTATGTAATATAGGAGAGGGGGCAGAGCCTCCCACTTACCATAAGTCTTTTAAATTTTAAAACACCCCCATTAAATGAATCCTGGATACGCCAATGGTGGCATACATAGGCTAATTAAAGTAAACGTAGGAACATATAAATTATAACAATTTTATCTATGAATGTCAGTGTAGCTAAAGCCTTTAACAAATAGGATCATACAGCGTCTATGCATATCTGTATATTATGTTGTATTATGTAGGGTGATTTATTTGTTTTAAAAGATATGGTGTCTCACGTTAGACATTACACTGTGCACAGTACTTTTAAAACTTTTAAATTGTTTTTTGTATCTTCTGAATAAGGAGAGGAGAAGTTATTTGATACTAGAGTTAAAGATAAAGTAATTTGCACTATATTTTGAACTGTATATGGCAGTGTTTCTAAAACTGTAGTAGAGCCATGAACAAATTGCTGGAGGGACGCAAGTAGTCATCACGGAATTTATAAATTCTAATTATCGATAAAAAATAAATAATAGTCATTATAAATTGATTGTATAGTTAATTTAAAAAGTATACAAAAAAACAAAAAAAAAGGACTTAAAATTCTTCAATTTTTGAGAGACAGATTTTTAAAAATCTACGAAGTAGGATTAAAACCGGAAAGTGTTACGGGCGATCCTCGGAAGATATGAAAACATATATACATATATGTTTAAAAATATAGATTTATTATGTAGAACTTGAAGTAAATATTCTTTATTTAAGACAAGCTTTCATATTATTTGTAGGATAGGAATGGCATTTTTTTAAAAATTTTATTTGTTCAAATTTTATTTTTCAGAACACAAAGAGATAATCAATTGAATATTTTTAATAAAATGAAAGTAATAGTTGACTGAAATCTGAAATCAGAAATAGGAATGGAAATTATGTTTTCAGTAGATAAATAATTGAAAATGTATTAAATAACTTTTGATAGAATAAAATATTTACATAACAGGTAGGTATGCTACGTATGTATTTACACGCATATTTATAAAGGGGACAAACAAATTTAACTAAAAAAACAAAATATTATCATCAACGGCATTGAGAAAACGAATTCCATGCAACTAACTTTGTCTAGCCGAGTCATGCGATGGATTATGTGTAATATGTGGCCGCTCAAACTTCCCCTTCCGTGTCGTAATTTCGTGCCGCCACGCCACAATCTTGATAACGATCCGATATCGTTACACGGAAAATTGAATATTTCTAATAACTAATTAATTACATTTATGAAATGTTCTCATTAGATGGCTCATCTGCACACAAAGTATTCGCGTTTAAAAAAAAAAAAAAACTATGCAAATTGATCTGAAATTGAACTTCAGATATAATTGACAAATAATTCGCCTCTTCTTTTTATAATAAAATATAATACGATATAGGTATCGAGTGTTACACGAAAAAGGTAACGCTCAAAAATGTTCAATGTTTAATGAATTTTGGGGGTGTCATAAAAATGGATAAAAAAAAATTGGTGTTTTTATTTTATATATTAATTTTCTTTTTATACCTACTGTAATATCGAAGATGAGCACCTATCAAATTGTTTATTATATAGTCCTTCAATAATAGGTACATAACTATCAATATCAATATTATCTGTGGACTGTGATTGACTGAATCATGATAACTATTAATACCTAGTTTATTACCCAAAACCCAAAGATATATGTATATTGTATAGGTATTAATATCATTAATTATCATTGATTATAAAATATACTGGTATTTATTATCAATGATATTAGGTATAGATATCTGTAGTTATAATCAACTCATTATCAATTTTACCGAAATCTAAAAATAAATCAAGTTAGAGTAGTTCAACTGAATTCTGTATATAAACTTTGCATAAAGCATAAAAGATATAATTTACTTTGAATATTTTGTTAATATATTATAAATTTATAAATAACTCATAATTATATGTACTGTATGAATAAAAAAGATGTTTTTATAATTTGTATATACTGTTATGTGTGAATAGTGTTATTTTTCTTTCTATATTGTACCTACTAATAATAATGAAATTAGTGTCAACTTCAAAAAATTATAAAAACAATAGGTAAATAAATTTATATAAATAAGATTACAATAATAGTAATAAAAAAAAAATAAGCAGGAACCTTTAATTAATAAGTATTAAACATATTTAAGGTAAGAGGTAAATTAAAAATATTAAATCAATATTTTTTGTAGGAGGGAGAGGGGCGTCAAATAGTGTTGCCCAAGGGTCTTATTGGTGGTTAGGACGGCACTGTACATATGTCAAGAGAAAATTATTTCACTTCTCTTAAAATGTAGACACATATATTTATAGATGATTTTGAATAAAAAAACTTTTGTTTAAGATACAATTCATTATGTTTGTTACTAGAATATTAGTAATGTTAGTATTAAGTAACAGAAACTAAAAACTAAATTTTAGTATCATTGTTATGAAAAAATTAAAAATTATAGTATATTAAAAAAATATTCTTTAAAGCATGTTGATGATATGGTATGAATATAGTAGTTTATATTATATTAATTAGTCAAAGTTGAAAGTAGTAATAATATTAATTGAGCAAAAAAAAAAAAAAAATTAAAAATATGAAGAACGATGATTGACTTTTGATTGTAAATCAAATTATTACATTTTTAATGTTTTGGTTTTATATTAATTATTATTGGTATTAGTATTTTAAAGAACCTAAAAATAATGAACATTAGTATTATTTAATAATTATAATTGTAGTTAATCATTGTTATTGCTTTCATATAGTTTTTTAAGTTTACTTGTATTTAATGAGATGAAGAAAGTCTACATGACATTTGGATATCTTGAAAAAACACAACATATTAAGGTAATCACAATTGTTATTAATAAATAATAATGCAATTAATTAGTTATTTTAATGCAGTGGCATATCTAGGATTTTTTTCTAAGAGGTGATACAACCATAACTATTTTGTACATTTGGAGCCAAGGGGATAAATATCTTCTAGGAGGATCTTGTTATCATACTTTTTGAGTTTCCGTAAAGTGCACTTATATAACATGATTTTATTTAAAACTATACCAACATTAATAATATTATACATTTATTTTCATAATAAGTATAAGTAAGATCACAAAATTATATCAAAATTCTGTTCACCGATCGGTTAATTATAAACGAGACACGATTACACGAAAGGACTGAGAGCAAATGTGAACACTGAACACATGGTTTATGTATTAACACTAATATAGTATAAATTAAATAATCACAGATATAATTGATTAATAGATATATAAACTAACCATGAAGATTAGGATATTAAACTATAATAATAATAATTCAACATAATTATTTAATGTTCACGATTTTCTTGAAACTAATAATAACTAT